TCGTCTGGCGACTGCTCTGCCAACGCCTCTTTTTTTTTTTTGCCACACTTCCCCGCTCTATTGCACCCAAAATATGCCACCTACGATTTTTTTTCCCCGTGATTAGGGAACACAAATGAACACTTTTATAAGACGAAAGAATTTTTTGTTATTTTTTTTTGTTGCGCCTGTGGGTGTTGAAGCCATTATGACCCTTAGCAGCACAAGGGTTAACCAAAGATAATACAAGAGGACCCTTAGCAGCACAAGGGTTAACCAAAGATAATACAAGAGGGACTTACCCGAGTAACGGTTGCCACTCGCTCCTCAACTCGAAATTGAGACAACTAACTGGCTGCAACTGTCGACCCAATGCAACACATGCTCGACTAGGGCCAGGAACACACACTAGGTAGCGAGCGGTCAAGACCCTGTTCGACCTCCAAAAACCCTGTGCCCGAATGTCAACCCAAGACATATGATCAAACACAGCAGCCAATGCAGCAAACTTACAAACGTCATTATTCGGTATTCGGACCAGGCACCACAGGCTACCTGGACATCAGACCCAGCCTGTGGTCCAGGTACAGAAGGCTGCCTGGACCAAATAATCCTGCAGATGACTTGGGAGACCTGAACCCTGGAACAGGGAAAATGAGTCAACTCAAAGTGCGTCCCCAGCCACCGAGGCCGTGGCGCGCAGCTAACGGCAAAGAGCCGCAACCGGACACAACACATGATGCACTCTCGGCCGAACCAACGTAGCATCACAAAAATCCAAGAACCACTCCAGAAAGCAGCCGTCTCATTCTTCGCCAGAAAAGAAGGAGACGGCTGCAAACAAAGAAACCTACCACCAGGACCAAAATTACAGAAACCTCTGCGCTAGAGAAGAGCATGAAGCTCCCCAACCCGAAGACGAGACGAGTCACCCGAAGTGACCACCTCCGAAGAGCCAAGGATTGCATCGAACCCCTCAGTTCAGACAATGAACCACTGGAGAGCAATCCGAATGGAGCCAGATCATTGATCCGCGAGTGACCCGAACCCTCCCGAGCGATATCCACACGGCCGCGAACTCCCGCACTGTGCTGTAGGCCTGACAGAAGGACGGACCACACTGCCCCCTGGCCGGCCTGGTGAGCACTGGTCACAAAGCCCCAGCCAAGAGACGATGCATTCATGAACACATTGAGAGAGGTCTCAGGTAGGCGCCAAGGCACTGAACCCTTTGAAACCCGAAGCAACTGACGTAAGACACCCGGAGGCGAAACCCAGCGAAAGCAAGAGAGGCGGAAGAGGCGTCTCCAAAGAAACCACAACAGCTGACGAAGCCAAACCCGGCCTGACGGGTAGACCAACACGGTAGAGTTTAGACTCCCGCACAAACCTTAGTACAACTACCTCGTGACCTGGGAGCGCTCCAGAAACAGCTGAAAGCAGGACAGCAGCCATAGCAGAGCCTCAGAGCAGAAGAATAACCCGGGAGCGCTCCAGAAACAGCTGAAAGCAGGACAGCAGCCATAGCAGAGCCTCAGAGCAGAAGAGGTCTGCCCCGCCAGCCCTGAATCCCTCGAAGGAGGAGGGAACCACCCAACACCACCACAGGCCGCAAGAAACGACTCGAAAAGCCCACAAATCATGGGAACAGGCATGAGCAAGCAGCGCGAGCCATCCCCCCCCCCCCAATCGCCTCGTCAATGGGATGAACCACGAAAGGGCCGACGTTCCTTACAAGAAGTTGACTTATGAGCAAAATGATCACCATGCCGACCAGTTGTCGTTGCCTCCAAAGGCTGCGCCAGTTCCGAAACTGGCACCACTAGCCTACCACAACGGGAGGAACCCGGAGCCCTGGCATGACCCTTCCGAGAAGACCCCCCCATGGGTCCCTTGGAGAACCAACAAATCCGACATGGGACGACAACTAGAAGAAGCCACTTGCAGATACTGCACCACTTCAGACTCTGCAAACAGCAAAGGACAAAATGGCATAGAAAACTAAGAGCCAGGGCCCAAGCAAATTCCAAGGATTGAGCGAGCACTGCCTGATGAGATGCAAGACCAGAAGTAAAGAACAGACACTGCCTCCTGCAAGATCGGCGCAAACAGCTTTAACAGAGCAGCCGACGCCCGCACCACCGAGACCAGCGCGCCAACCCAGGATCAGCCCGAGTGCCTACATGTCCTCCTCAAGCCTGTCCAAAGACAGCTCAAGAGGGGAAAAGAAACGCAAGACCGAAGCCAAATAGCCATGGATGCACAAGTCCTCAGCAACCAGAGCAGCCAAAAGGGAGGAATCCTGCACGTGAAACTGTACCAGGCTGACATCCCGAGGAAAGGCAGGGGCGAACAAACATTCAATGAGGCATTCAAACTCGCTCCCCAGGTAAACCTGAAAAACCGTCAGGGCCTCTCACCAGTCAAGCGCGCAGAACCGACAGAACGTATGCTACACCCTCAATGAAAAAGATAGGATAATCTGCTAACCAAGATGACTCTGGAACCTCGTAACGTACCCATTAAGGAAAGGAAGAACCAAACTCATAAGAGGCAGGATCCATTATCGAGGCGTAATCTGGGTCATGCAGGAGGTAAGCCGCAAAGGCCTACTGCATATCATGGGGCAGGATGCGTAAGACCAAAAGCCTCCAGAAGGAAGGGACCGAAGTACCCAAGGGAACCCGGAACCGAACCCGGGGGTGGAGCTAATGCCACATCAAACTCGTACAGGGACGGGGGGGACAAAAAAAACCCATCCCCTGCAACAACAAGCCCTGCTCAGAGAGTACCAAAACCCAAGTGGGGTCAAACGTGGCCCAAGCCCCCCAAGTCAGCCCCTCCCCGCTCTGGGAACCTTCACACCAGGACCCGGGGCCGAGCCGTCCTCCAAACCCTCCGCTTCAAAAGAGAAGGCAGAGTCTACTAGAAAAGCTGGAACGAAGGGGGCTCACTGGTCAGACCCAGAAGCACCAGCAGGAGTAACAGGCTCAAATGCCTCCATTGTCACATCTGAAGGGCCATCCACTGAAACAGCCCGAGTCTCACCACCAACTAAACCCTGCCCCGACTCCAAAACCCTCAGACGTTTTGGAGCCAGGTGCAGGGGGGGGGGGGGGGAGGGGGGAGGAACTGGACAAACAATAGCAGGGGTAGGATAAGGGGGGGCGCGGATGAAACCAAAGTCGAGGTGACTAGCGGGACCCCGGGAAGGGAGCCGGTCGGCCGAGCGGACAGCACACTGGACTTGTGATCCTGTGGTCCTGGGTTCGATCCCAGGCGCCGGCAAGAAACAATGGGCAGAGTTTCTTTCACCCTATGCCCCTGTTACCTAGCAGTAAAATAGGTACCTGGGTGTTAGTCAGCTGTCACGGGCTGCTTCCTGGGGGTGGAGGCCTGGTCGAGGACCGGGCCGCGGGGACACTAAAAAGCCCCGAAATCATCTCAAGATAACCTCAAGATAACCCCCCCCCCCAAGTCCGGGTCCGTATAACCAAAATCTGACAGTCCATGTGAGCAAACAACCTAGCATGCGGCAGCAGCCTACAATGCGCATGCAATGCTGAAGCCGCCTGCACCCAAATATCAAGATTAATGGATTGAGTGAACTGGAGAACAAGCAAGGAACACTACTCGCAGGAGTCAAAGGAGTCACCGACCCAACAGGCAGCACGACAGAGGTTCAACTGGTGTAGGAAAACTGCACAACTTGTCATCCTGAGACAAGAGGACAGATCAATCTTCAAACTCGCACGAAGTGTGATAGGATTCAGGGGACGCAGCCATCGGACCACTGAGCCCTAACGTGGGGTATCCAGGGCCCTTAGAAGCTCTGCAATGGGAAGCCCAGGCAAGGTACTGCTAATTGGCACTCCAAACTACCAAGCAAACTACTAATAGCTGAACCCTTGGGACGTGTACACTCACAGGGACCTAGTGAAGGGCCACCAATATATATTAAGAGGTATCAACACCATGGGGCAGACACCCCACCAGTCAGGAACAAAAATAAAAGAAAAACCCCACAAGAGCACAATGACCCAGCCCCATAGCGGGCTGCTGTATTATGGTGAAAACAAGCTGCACAAGACCTCGCGCCCTTACCAGTGACGAAAACTACCCCTACCCTGAGACAAACAGTGGTGCATGAAACACCCTAGCTGACCCCAAGGGCGAGTAATCACCGAGCAGCAAAAGACCCCAAGGAGGTAGAACCCAAGCAATTTGTCGAAGATAACACCCAAGCTGCAAAGGTAGTACTGTACTTACAGGGTACTTAGGGAAGGTAACCCTAGGCGCATGCAGCCTGAGTACTTGTGAAAATCCTCCTAGCTCGCACACCACTACAGGACAGGACCATATCACAAGGCACAGCACTAGAAAATTTCTGGAGTCAGAGTCGCACGACCGCCAAGTCTCACATCAGCCACAGACCTGGAGGTGGATAGGCGGCAATGGGGTCTGGAGCCCCCCTCCCCCTTCCCAATCCCGGGAAGGAGGAAGCTGCACAGACAGCAGCACGGTGAAGGTTGTGATGTCATGCTCGTTTGCTCATTTCTCACTTGCAGAGTTCTGTCCAACAGTTCGGCTTTCAGTAGCAATTTCTTAACCAGATAGGGTTTATTTTGGGGCGCCTACCTTTCTGGGTGCCTGACCCAGTCGATGGCAGACATAGAATGCTTCCAGCCACATTGGAGTTTCTATAGGCCATTGCTCCTCGTGCCTCTCTGAGGGAGCCAGGTTCTGGCTCATCTTCAGTAGGCCTAAGAACTCCATTCACTGACTGATGCCAGGGTTTAAAACATTCATATCTGCCCGGATAGCTACGGGAAGCCGAAGGGGCTCTCCCCAGAATCTGCATACAAAAGCAATTGACAAAAAATATTGATATACAAAAATTTCCTAATATTCAAACCAATGTACACATTAGTACATTATTATGGTTAATATTATTATTATATTTCTTAGCATCATGTGGTAAGTCTTCATAAAAAGAGTCAGGATAAAACATTACTTCATACCAATAGTGACAATGTTGGATGCTGAGGAGACAAAGTCTGAAGGCAGGAAAGGCTCAGCACTGTACTCATTGTGCATTTGTGTATTCATACCCTTTCCAGATGACCAGCGACGCTGTAAAATAGAATACAAAATAATGATATTAAAATTACTGTATGTGTAATTATATAAAACACTGTAAAATAGAATACAAAATAAAGATATTGAAATTACTGTATGTGTAATTATATAAGTGTAGTTACAGGATGAGAGCTACACTCGTGGTGTCCAAAACTTCCCAGCACTCTTGTCATATAACGCTTTGAAATTACTGATGGTTTTGGCCTCCACCACCTTCTCACCTAACTCGTTCCAACCGTCGACCACTCTATTTCCACAAGTGAATTTTCTTACATTTCTCCGGCAGTCTTGTTTCATTAGTTTAAATCTATGATCTCTTGTTCTTTAACCACTGAATTGTGCCAACCGATTATTCTCGGTCGGTGGGAAACTGCGCCAACCGAGAAAACTCTTATTTTTTCGTACCCATTCTAAATGTGTGCGAGGTTGGTTGTGTACAAAATGGACTCTTAGGACCTCCAGTGAGAGGCAGCCTGCTTGATGGGGTTCTGGGAGTTCTTCTACTCCCCAAGCCCGGCCCCAGGCCAGGCTCGACTTGTGAGAGTTTGGTCCACCAGGCTGTTGCTTGGAGCGGCCTGCAGGGCCACATACCCACCACAGCCCGGCTGATCCGGAACTTCTCTTAGAAAACAGTCCAGTTTTCTCTTGAAGATGTCCACGGTTGTTCCGGCAATATTTCTTATAGTCACTGGGAGGACGTTAAACAACTGCGGACCTCTGATGTTTATACAGTGCTCTCTGATTGTGCCTATGGCACCTCTGCTCTTCACTGGTTCAATCTTGCATTTTCTTCCATATTGTTCACTCCAGTACGTTGTTATTTTACTTTGTACATTTGGGACCTGGCCCTCCAGTATTTTCCATGTGTATATTATTTGGTATCTCTCTCGTCTCCTTTCTAGAGAGTACATTTGGAGACCTTTGAGACAATTCCAATAATTTAGGCGTTTTATCTCGCCTATGCATCTATGCTAAGCTATGATCTCTCTTCTATGCTAAGCCATCTTGGAAAAAATTCCCAGAATGCCCTAGGACTGCTGGCTGGGTTAGTACTGAGTGAGCAACCATGGGTGGCACACACGCCTCTGGCTCCCAAACACCTGTCCGACACAGTGTTGAAAGATTGCGCGCTGTCGGTGAAATTCAATCCTTATTGTTTGAAGAACATAAGAGTCATAATATTGGTGAACCTAGGTGCAATAAGGACCTCACACAAAGATCGGATGCAAGTGATACAGCACCTATGACAACGATACAGTGAGTGTATCCAGTTGTAGCTCTGAGTGCCACCCTTGCCCACCTATGCTATCTCCAATTTATATAGATGATACATATATGAATCGTTTTCTGCGTTCAGTGATGATGCATCTGATACAAGTCGCATAGATAAACAGTGTTAGTGGCTTCCATGGTGGTGTTTTCCATAAATATTTTCATGAATAGCTGAATCTCTTCTTGACTGACGGACACTCTTTGAGGCTGGCTGAATCTCTTCTGGACTAATAGACACTCTTTGAGGTTGGCTGAATCTCTTCCTGTGTGGGACCTTACAAAGCGATCTTTTCACAACTACCTTACAAATTGATCTTTTCCTATAATCTTTTCAAGACTACCTTACTCTTTACAAGCATGGCTACATACCACCTACAGGTACTAAAGCCAAGGGTGCACGTGAATGCATTATTTGCAAGCACACAGAACGAAGAAACAGGAAGCGAAAATCTATCTGTACCTGGTGCAACGAGAGCGAAGTCGCGCTGTGTACCATGGACTACTTCGTTGATTATTACTCACTTCCAAAGTACTGTGTAATGCAGTATGTTACTGGGTAAATAGTGTGTGAAACTGTACATATTGTAATTTTAGTGAATTTTTAACACACGAGGAGTAATGGCCTATAAAAAAAAAAAATGTGGTTGGAAGCATTCTATGTCTGCCATCGACCGTGTCAGGAGCCCAGAGAGTTAAGCATCCCAAAATAAACCCCTATTCTGGTTAAGAAATTGCTACTGAGAGCTGAACTAGTGGACAGAACTCCCCAAACAAAAAACGGGCAAATGAGCATGACGTCACCACGTCGCCGCACCGCCGTCTGCACAGCAGCCCCCTTCCCAGGGAGGTGTAAGCCCCTCTTGTCCCTTACTTAACGCGAAGCTGAAACAACTGGCTGCAACCACTGACCAAAAGCGACAGGCCCGACGAGGACCCAGAACATTAAGTAACGCGCAGCCAGGACCCTGTTCGACCCTGCAAAAACCCCCATGTCCGAATGTCAGCCCAAGACATGTTGCCAAAGTTGGCCGCAAGAGCACTTACGAACATCGTGGGCACTGGGATAGACCGCAGGCTTGCTTGACCGAATAACCCTGTGGACGACCTGAGAGACCCCACACAATGGAACAGGGAAGAAGGGAAACCGGATCAACCCAAAGTGCATCCCAGGACATGGAAGTCGTGGCGTGCAAATAACGGCAGAAAGACGCAACCAGACACAACACACAATGCACCTCCGGCCTGACCAACCAAGCATCAACAACCCAAGGACCCCTCCGGAAAGCAGCCGTCTCATTCTTCGCCAGAAAAGGAGACAGCTGCAAGGGAACAAACCTATCACGGGGACCGAAAGAGCAGAAACCCCAGCGCCAGAGGAGAGCATGAAGCTCCCCAACCCATATCCCAGAGGCCAATGCCAACAGGAAAAAAAAAAAAAAAAAAAGAGAGCCTTGGAAAAACAATCCTGAACCGAAGGGGCCCACAACAAACCGAGGAGAAGAGAGAAAGGAAAGCATCCGATCCAAGGACCAGGACTTGAGATGAAACAATGCACGAGACAACTTGCGAAATGGCACAGAACTAACATCAATATCAAAAGCAAGCTGAAGCTGCTCCGCCAGCACCGCATGATATGAGGGGAACAGTATTAGGCACAAGATGAGTCCTGAAATAACCATAAGAGAAAAAGACAATGCAACCCGAACCGAGAGCAAAGAATACCTACGAAGCAAGAGAATGAAATGAAAGGTCCGCCAGGACCTTTCATTCATACTGCCGCCAAGATGAAGCCCGCAGGTGGGACACCATCAAGGACGCTACCTGATCACCATACAGATGTTGATAGACCAGAGTCAAAAAGACCAAACGCCAAGACTCGAGAAGAAGATCGAACCAACCACGTGACAGACCAGACCGATCTGCTGAAAGAGGCGGAGCCACGGGAAAACTTCCGGGTGCGGACACCGAGCAAGCAGTGCCTGAAACCAAGGCTGGGCCCGCCACCAAGAGGCCAAGAGGACTATTCTCCCCTGGTAAGTCTCCAAGCGAGCCAGGACCTGGAACAACAGCTGAACTGGGAGAAAGAGAAAGAGGTACAGGAACCCCCACCTCAACTAGTCCTGTCAAAAGGCATCGACCACGACGGCGTCACAGTCTGGGGAAGGGTGCTACATATACCGAAAGACACCTCGACTATGCAGACGCAAAAAGGTCCACATCCGGGTGCCCAAACGACGGGCAGAGCCAATTGAAGGAGTCGGCATCGACCGTCCATTCCGTTCTAAAGTTCAACTCAGGAAAGTGTAAAGTAATGAAATTAGGCGAAGGGAGCAGAAGGCTGAACAAAAGGTACCATCTGGGAGGTGAAATCCTACAAGAGTCAAATAGAGAGAAAGATCTGGGGGTCGATATCACACCAAACCTGTCCCCAGAGGCCCCACATCAAACGGATATCATCAGCAGCATATGCTAGACTGGCCAATATAAGAACTGCCTTTAGAAACTTGTGTAAGGAAATCATTCAGGACCCTGTATACCACTTATGTAAGACCAATCCTGGAGTATGCAGCTCCAGCCTGGAGTCCATACCTAGTTAAACACAAGATGAAGTTAGAGAAGATTCAGAGGTATGCCACCAGACTGGTCCCGGAACCGAGAGAAATGAGTTACGAGGAAAGGCTAAGAGAGCTGAACCTCACAACCCTGGAAAACAGAAGAGTAAGGGGAGACATGATAACCACCAACAAAATTCTCAGGGGAATTGACAGGGTGGACAAAGACAAACTCTTTAGTGCGGGTGGAACACGAACAAGGGGACACAGGTGGAAACTTAGTACCCAGATGAGCCAGAGACATTAGAAAGAATTTTTTCAGTGTCAGGGTAGTTAAGAAATGGAATGCATTAAGTAGTGTTGTGGTGGAGGCTGACTCCATACACAGTTTCAAATGTAGATATGATAGAGCCCAGTAGGCTCAGGAATCTGTACAAGAACTGAAGGGCAAGAGCTACAAGGAGAGGTTAGAGGCATTAAATATGCCAAAACTAGAAGACAGAAGAAAAATAGGTGATATGATCACTACATACAAAATAGTAACAGGAATTGATAAAATCGATAGGGAAGATTTCCTGAGACCTGGATCTTCAAGAACAAGAGGTCATAGATTTAAACTAGCTAAACACAGATGCCGAAGAAATATAAGAAAATTCACTTTCGCAAACAGAGTGGTAGACGGTTGGAACAAGTTAGGTGAGAAGGTGGTGGAGGCCAAAACTGTCAGTAGTTTCAAAGCGTTATATGACAGAGTGCTGGGAAGACGGGACACCACAAGCGTAGCTCTCATCCTGTAACTACACTTAGGTAATTACACTTAGGTAATTACCAGTTGATTGACAGTTGAGAGGCGGGACCAAAGAGCCAGAGCTCAACCCCCGCAAACACAACTAGGTGAGTACAACTAGGTGAGTACATACCCTCGAGCAACTGCCGAGTGACCCAGGAGCCCCCCAGAAATAGGCAAAGGCGGGACCGCAGCCTAAGGGGAGACTCCAGGGGGAGAGACAAGGAAGTGGTCCCAAATAAGCCTCAGCCAAGTCCGAATCTGGGATGGAACTGAATGGGACTTCCTCCAATTCACCAAGAACCCAAACCCGGCAAGCTGGGAAATAACCAAATTCCTAGCGAGCTGACAAGAGGACCGGCTGAGAGCCCAGACCAGCCAGTCGTCGAGGTAGGCCAGCAGCCGAGCACTACACATCAAGAAGTCAACACCAGCAATCAACAGCCAATTAATGCACAACTATATTCTACCCACTTCAAGACTCCGCTCCAATATAGAAGCATCAAGAAATATGGGCCAATAGGCCTCTGCAATTACTTCCATTCTTACCTTCAATACCCATTGTTTCGTGTTCTATCCTGTGTTGAAAGTTTTGTTCACCTCATCCAAAACTGTTGTAACATATCACCTCACCCAAAATGCGGGTATAAAATGAAAAATGAAAGCTCTCACAATTTCTGCTGAACCAATCCTGTTTTCTGCCCTGCATTTTGGGTTTTGGTATGAATGTTTGTGTGCCTATCCTCGTATATTTTTAAAAATTTGGCATACTTTATTTACATTTACATTTATTTACATTTACATTTATTTACATTTACATTTATTTACATTAACTTCCCTGCCTAGCAACAAGTCTGTCCATTTACACTCATTAAAAAAATTTTGAAGTTTCCCATAGTGACCTCTCCTTAAATCAAGTTTATCAACTGTTTCAATGTCCCCATTTTCTTCTAGATGATATCTTAAAGCATAATTAATGTCTAACAGGACGTGATCATCTTTCCCAAGGGAGGAAGGTACTGAATGTCAAATATCTCTTCTTCTTTCCTGGTGAATACTAGATCCAGTACTGACGGTACATCTCCTTCCCTCATTCTTGTGGCCTGCTTTGTGTGTTGATACAAGAATGTCTCCAGAATGAGGTTCACAAATCTGCATGTCCAAAAGTCCTCTGTTCTTGCTTCATAGGCCTCTCAGTCTATTGCTTTAAAGTTGAAGTCCCCCAGTATCAGCAGTCGTGATTTATCTTTATCTGCTTGTGCAATAATATCTCTCATGACCATTATGAGGCCCTCTCGTTTGTCATCCAGTTCTTCCTTTGTCCATGTGTTGCTTGCTGGTGGGCTGTAGGCATTTAAAATTATCAGCTTATCATCCTGATTCCAGATCTGCAATGCCATTATGTCAATATCTCGAGGGTTTTCAAATATTAACTCTCTTACCTTCAGGTGTGTTTTCACCAGTACAGCCACTCCTCCTCCCTTCCTAGTTTTCCTGTCACGTCTCCAAACTGAATAGCCTCTATAATATGTGTGTAATACAGTGTGTTACTGTGTAAATTGTTTGTGAAACTGTACATATTGTAATTTTAGTGAATTTTTAACAAGTATTATTGCAACAATAAACATTTATTGTGGACACATTATTGACACATGTATCACAGTTTCCATGGAACATTATGAACATTCTACTGTATACATATTGTAAAGAACACAAATATGCATCGTATACGATAAAAAAAAACAAATAAAACCACATTGGAAATATATTTTAATATTAATATTAAAACCTACTTAATAATTGAAAATATATTTGTGGCAATACCTAGTGCTTGAATGGCCCGCGCGACCATGTCTGGGAGATTTATGCACTGGCGACCAGGCTCTGATGACGTCACAACGCACCTTGTCCACATCCCCACAGCCAAAGTAAGTGGAATTTGGTATTTATTTTTACATAGACATGTTTAGGGAAGGGAATTTATCATTTTACGAAGAAAAAATTATTTTTTGGGAACACTTTATTTCATGCGCACAGAGGGAATTCCACAAACTCGCCACAGCATGGTGGTTAACGAATCTGCGTGAAATAAGCATTGTTCCGAGATGCGGGGAATATTGCAGGGTTTCGACCTCACCGAACGATCAAAAATGTAACTTTCACACAACTACAAATATTTCCGGTTTTACTTTAAATATTGTCCTATAGAGGTTTCACATAATAGATCCTGTTTCTGTGTTCTGACATAAAAAGATTTTTGGTTAGTAAGTTATTAAGATGTTTTCAACAACAGGAAGCAAATCTACAAATGCAATTCAGCTTCAGATTGACAATGTAAACATTAGCAATAAAAATGATGGAAAGTTTCTTGGCATATTCCTAGACAAGAGACTCAACTTCAGTACCCACATACAACACATAACTAAGAAAGTCTCTAAAACAGTTGGTATACTCTCCAAAATCAGATATTGTTCCTAACTCTGCTCTCATCTCTCTATATTATGCACTAATCTATCCCTATCTCAACTATGGTATCTGTGCATGGGGTTCAACCACTGCAAACCACCTCAAGTCCATCATCACCCAGCAAAAATCTGCTATCAGAATAATATCAAATTCTGCTTTCAGACAACACACAGCCCCCTTGTTTAACTCCCTAAACATGCTAAACATAATCTCACTCCACAAATTCTCTTGTGTCAACTACATTTACAAAACCCTGTTCTTAAATGCAAATCCTTGTCTGAAACTCTTCTTGGACAGATGTAATAGGACCCATTATCACCACACCAGAAATAAATCTCTTTGATATCCCCAGAGTTAAACTTAATCTGTGTAAACACTCTATGCAAATAAAGGGACCCAGTTTATGGAACTCACTCCCTACTGAATTGAAAAGCTGTCCAACTTTTACATCATTCAAAATCAATACTAAAAAGTACCTAATTTCATCTTCATAGTTTTTCACTTTTTGCCTTAAAATTGCACTGTATCAATTGCTACCCAATCTCCCAACCTTTATGTTCCCAATTTGAACATCTTTACCATTGTGATCATTGCTGTCTTATATGTGCTGTCAATCTGCTGTATGGTGTCTATTAACCTTGTTTAAATTACTAATCAAGCTGTCAATGTAATCAATCAGAGCTTTAATATAACAATATGCTTTAATATACCTACTTATCTCTCTCATCTCATTTTTCTCTTGTAATGTATCTTTATCATTTATCAATTCTGATTGAAATTACCTACTTAAAATTATCTGCTAGATTAAGGACCTGCCCGAAACGCTGTGCGTACTAGTGGCTTTACAAGAATGTAAATACTGTACTATCCAATGTATTCTCACAAACCCAATGTACCTTCTTGTATATATATAAATAAATAAATAAATAAATAAATAAATAAATAAATAAATAAATAAATAAATAAATAAATAAATAAATAAATAAATAAATAAATAAATAAATAAATATTCTTGGGACACTCGCCTATTCCAACATGGGCGATCCTTTTGGAAATCGAACACATGGGTTGACCCAATTGATACTTGAGTCAGGTTCCATTATGGTTCGGAACACAATACACAATATTAATTAGTAACATACAATATAGTAACATACCCGAGTACAATTAAATGATGATGATTCTTCTGGCTGTGACATGGCTCTGTCGAGTGATGATCTCCAGCCCATCTCTAAGGAAAATTTCTTGACTACATCACTTGACGACTGTATGAAACGTTTCAGCCTTCCCAAGTAATCTTCACGGGACGTTTTTACCGTCTGGTATGCCATATCGTTAAGCATTTAGGACCTTACAAACACGAGTAAATTAAATCCTGGCAAGTACTCTGTACCGTTATCAAACTCATGAACAAAAGTCCAGTTCTTCATCACACTGTTCGTCTTCTTGATTGTAATTGCAGTTTGCGTGAAGCGTCTTTATCCTCCCCGATGACTGCACTAGTACTAATGTTGGGAGACGTGTTTATGTTGAGAATGACAAGGTTTCAAAAGAGTTCATTGCCTTGTGGTGTAGATAGAAGAGCGGCGACTAAACACACACCGAGAGATATTTGCTGCACTGCAGGGAAGCATGTTGTGTTTATGGCGTCAGCTGATCCTTGGCGGTGGGGTGGGGGGGGGGGAATGGTCAAATCGTCTACTGTAGTCTCGGATGCCTTTCTTAAGTATATTCGAACCCCAGTTGGAAACAGACCCAACTATAGGATGGGTTAACCCAAGTATCGCGCTTCCAAAAGGGTCGCCCAAGTTGGAAAAGACGAACGCTGAAAGAATATTGTTGAAAACATCTTGATAACTGATTAAACCAAAATTATTTATTAGTCAGAAGAAAGACAGAAACGCGATCTATATGTAAAACCTCTACCAGACAAATATTTTAAGTAAAACCGAAGATATTTGTAGTTGTATAAAAGTGGCAGTTTTCATCGCTCGTCAAACTCGAAAACCGCAGCATTCATCTCAGAACCATGCCTATTTCACGCAGATTCCTTAATAAACGTAAGAGTTTTATATGTCACAAGAAAGACAGATATATAAGCTTCGTTCTAAATACCTTACCATGGGCATATTTAAATTTAAAGCGAAGATACGTGTACTTTTATAATAGCCGAGCTCCGACTCCGGACAGATCGATCGACGGAGCAACTCTCTCTCAGAACAATGCTTATTTCACGTAAATTTGTAAATAATCGTAAATTTTTTATATGCCTCAAGAAAGATAGGAATATAAGGCTCATTTTAAACACTTTATCATAGACATAATTAAAGTTCTAATGAAGATTCGTGTATTTTAATAATCCCGAGCTCCGACCCCCGCATAGACTGAGCGACAGAGCAACTCTCTCAGAAGAATGTTTATTTTACGTAAATTCGTTAATAAACACAAATGTTTTACACGTCTTAAGAAAGATAGAAATATAAGCTTTATTTTAAATACATTACATTAGACATATTTAAAGGTCAAGTGAAGATATATATGTTTTTATAGTGGCGTTCAGTAACTTTTCGGTCATGGAGTGCAGACGCCTACGCACTTGCCAATATGTTGTGTAATTAACAAAGATACGCTAATAAAGCCTAAAATATTACATGCCTCCAGAAAGACAGAGCTATAATCGTTATTGTGAGTGCATCAAAGGAAATATATCATGTTGGAGACCAATGATATAGCAATTTTAATTTAAGTTTCGAGTCCCGCCCGGTCGAGAGCCTCTTGTTGATCACTTGTGACACTAAGATTATTGATGTGTGTATTTGTGTAGGTGATTAGATATGTATGTGTATGTATATATGTATACGTATATATATATATGTACATGTATGTTTGTATGAGAGTGTGTACATGTATATATAATATTAATAATTTTGTAACTACGTCACAAATTGTTATTTGCTTAGCTAAACGAACTAGAGGGTTCAGTTCCTGAACCGATTATGTGCCTCTGTAATCCTTTACACCACCGCCCACGGGATGGGTATGGGGTGCATAATAAAGAAAGAAATTGAATTGAATTGGTCTGATTAAGACTTTATGACCATGTAATCTGATTAAGACTTTATGACCATGTAATCTATGTTTTGCTCCACTACTTACTGGTTGAGTATGGGGTGCATAACAAATAATAGCCTCCTTCGAGGGCGCCCTGTTTCTAAACGTGTTAGTCTTAAATCCTTTAATCTCAAATCTTGCTACAATGTACCTCTTAATATATGTTATGTACTCTCGCAACCCAATGTACCTTCTTGTATATAAATAAATAGATTTCAACTGTAAGGGGGTATGGTTTGCACCTTGTTATTCTAATAATGGATAAATAATTCTAATAATGGAAGCGCTAATTATATGAACAAGTGCCATATATTTATTCAGACGAGAACAACAGCGAACACAAACCAGCGCATATACGAACGGAATGATTTGTATGTACAAACTTCTCAGTGAACGAAGTTGTTTCTAGCCCGGTATCCGAAATTGCAGTATACGACTTGACCAGTCCCCATATTGGGTGTGCCTCGTATCCCCTACAACAACAAGAAGTTCGAGAGCGATGAGGCCGCCACCTACTAGCTTCAGGATGTCGTCGAATCTAAATCAACAATATACTACCGCCGCTACTTTCTCGGAAACGTTAGTACCTGCCGCTTTACTTCTCTCACCCTGCCTAGCCTGGCCTGGCCTGACCTGGCCTAGCCAGACCTGACCAGACCTGACCTGGCCTAGCCTTACCTAGCCTAGTCTGACCTGGCCTAGCCAGACCTGACCAGACCTGACCTGGCCTAGCCTTACCTAGCCTAGTCTGACCTGGCCTAGTCTGACCTGACCTGGCCTAGCCTTACCCAACACTAATCACCACACGTGACAGCCCAAACGAATCGCAAATAAGTACACGTAACAAGTCATATGCCCGGACACTCTTTCACCTTGGGGGCTGAGTGGTAACTATTGTATAGACGAGCCGGCTCCCCGAGAGTGGTAAGAGGGCGTGATAAGAGGCTAACGTGTGGTCTTGAAGGAAGTCGATAAAGCAGACAATTTTCAAAAGGAAGGGCAGCATAACGAGCAGACAGGAATGGACAGACAGTCGGTTATCCCATAATGTGTAATACGCCCCGCACAGCATGGGTGGAGTGGGGGGGGGGTTGTAGCAGGGCACAGTATGGTGATGGTGCGGGTGAAGTACACACCCACTGAATTCCTGCCATCAATAATTGTTTTCATAACCATTAGAACAATGGCATCCCTCCAGGCACCATCCTTCCACTGACCCCCTCCTCTGGTCCTCCACCTCAGACAATAACCCCCCACACCCCCTCTCCCTTCCAGACATCAGCATGTCAAAATCAGTACCATAATGTGTTTAAACTATTTAAACTAAGTCATTGTGTATCTCAAGGTATCTTAATTCATTTGAAAGTGTACATGTGCATTCGTTCATATACTCGCCTAATTGTGCTTGCTGGGGTTGAGCTCTGGCTCTTTAGTTCCACCTCTCAACTGTCAATCAACAGGTGTACAGGTTTCTGAGCCTATTGGGCTCTATCATATCTACACTTGAACCTGTGTATAGAGTCAGCCTCCACCACATCACTTACTAATGCATTCCATTAGATATAATCATATATGATTACACATAATCATAATCATTCCATACACATAATCATAATCATTCCATACACATAATCATATATGTGTACGTCAACATATACATACATGCGTATATATACCTCATATTAAAATACTGATAAACGAATGACCATGAACAAATTAATTTATAATTGTAGCACTATATATAATTTTAATAGACTAATTACGTGTTTATACATTTGAATGGTCCAGACAGGTGGCCAGCCTTGGACATATACACTTCTGGTAGGCACAATGACCTCATGTTAGACCCTTGATAGATTATGTGAGAGAGAGAGAGAGCTGGGGCAGGGAGGTGCGTGCCCCAGGGAGATAATCCATGCCCATGCCCCGCCTCGAGGTCAGTTCTCGAGTCACACCAAGAATAACAATCGAGCAAGTTGTCCTGACCAGGATGTGGCATATTAGGGAGGGTTGAGGAATAGGAAGCCTGTCTGATAGGGCTCTTGGCAAGCAGCTCTCCCTCAGTCTACCTATCTATATGGAAGAAATGTATCTAGGCCCTCCTCCCCCTGCCTATTCTCTCTCCCCCACCTTTCTTCCTTCATTTCCTCCCTCCTTCCCTCCCCCTCACTGGTGAGAGAGTAGGAGTGTGAGAGTGGTTAGAGAACTCGTAGTTCTCACGCTCGTGAAATTGTCTGCGACCCTGGAGGAGTAGAGCGGAGGGGGGGGGGGGTGAAAGTAGGTGACGATGGAGGAGTAGAGGGGAGCATTATATGCAGTGAACGTAGGTGTCTATGGAAGAGTACATCATAGAGGAGGGTGAAAGGAAGGTGACGATGGAGGAGGAGAAGGGAGGGGGTGTGAAGGTAGGTGATGATGGAGGTGTAGAGGGGAGGAGGGGGGCAAAGGTAGGTGTCTATGGAAGAGTACATCATAGAGGGGGGTGAAGGTAGGTGGCGATGGAGTAGAGCAAAAGGGGTGGGGGTTGAAAGTAATCCTGAGTTTAATTTTTTAGTTATATATAGTGACACCTCGGCTTACGAATGAATATTTATGAACTTTTCGGGTTACGAGCCTAATTTCTTCGAAAAATTTGAATCGGGTTACAAACTTTGCCTCGGGAAAGGAGTTTGTTGATATACGTATGGGCTGACCTAGCGCGTGGTGGCATGGTGATCGCGCCTCAGTTTACCAGTGTCTCCTGCCTAGTAAGTATCGCGCCTCAATTCTTTGTAAAGCATTACATTTGTTTTGGGATTTTTGGCTATTTGAACATAAAATTTGTTATGATATATCTTGCCATGAGTCCCAAGAAAGCCAGTGGTAAGGTTCAAGCCAAGAAAACACATGTGAGAATGACCATAGAGGAAAAACAAGAGAGCATTCATAAACATCAAAATGGTGCACAGGTTGTTGAACTAGCTAGGCAGTACAACAAATCTATGTCAACAATATGCACTATACTTGCTAAGAAAAAGGATATTATGAGCATTAAAGTGGCAAAAGGCATATCAACAATCCCGAAACAAAGAACACAAACACTTGAGGATGTTAAAAAGTTTTTATTAATTTGGATACACAACAAGGAGTTAGCAGGTGATAGCATTTCAGAGGCCATCATTTGTGAGAAACCAAGGCATTTGCATGAAGACCTTTTAAAGAAAACCCCTGGAACGAGGGGGAAAAAGATGAATCAAGTTTGAAAATGTGAAAAGTTTGTGTGACAATAGAGCCTCGTAGAAAACTTTTGCTGTGGTCATTACCTGGTGGAATGCACCCAGGATGGAGTATTAGGGCTATACATCTTTTAAATCATAAAAGTAATAAACATTTCCCATCAACCTTACAAACCATATTAACCTATTTTCATGTATTTCCCCCATGTGCATTTTAACAAAGTTACTAAATTGCCTTTATCATTCTGTAA